CTTAACCGACAGCGTATGTTGCCAACGTAACACACATGAAATCCAAGTTTGTAACCACCTTGAAGGCAGTTTTACCCACCGACTTGTGTATGAGCCTAAAAGCCTGACGGCAGCTGTGTACAGACAGTCAGCTAGATTGTCAGAGCAGTACGGATTACAAAACATGGTTGTGCTTATCCGATTGTTACCGCCTGGTTGTCCAATTGTCTGAGTTTCTATATAACCTTTTCCAGGCAGTGTGCGTTTTTCCGCGCATGTGTGATGTGGTTATGCGGTAGCTGGGTGGAGACGGGTCAGGGTGGTTGGGCTAGTGAATGAAATGGTTCGGATGGGGTGTCTGTTTCTGCCAGACATTGAACTCGGTCGATGTGTTAGCAACTAAAAGAATGTGAAATCAAACCACTTTTTCATTACCACATCGATCAAAAGCGTGGAAATACGCGAAAACGCATGCATGCGTCATGATGTTATTCTGTTGCAACACGGTACTCTTTCTCCTAGCTCAGACAGATGCTTAAGGAGCAAGCTTAAGGCGCACACGNCACTCAAACTTTAGCAAACTGCCGCACATGTAGACAAATCAGTGCGATTGATGGACAGGCCGTGACCGAGGAACGGACAGGCATGCTTTATTTCTGATCCACTGCGCTCGTACCACGGTCGTACACACCGGGTTTAGTCTTGTCATCATCATCATCATCATCATCACATTGAAGAAACAGACGTTCCGTAACAGACGTGCATCCATCGTGCGTCGTGACCTCTGACACCCCAACTTTCCAACCGGGGCAATTCGCAACGCTGATGAAAGGCGGGGGTGGGAGAGGTCTGGGCGCTCGCATACGAGCGAGCTAGTGAGAGCATGTAAAGGCCAAGTTTCCGGGCTGACCGTCAGTCTTGTGTGCGGAGAAGAGTGGCCTACTGCCGTGTGTATGCTAATACGGAACGGAAATGAAACTGGAACGTATACATGTGTGTACCTGTGTGCGTGTGTGTACACGGGCAGATATACCAAGGGAACCATAGTGCGAAAGCAATGACCGTGGTCTTGACGATTAGGTCATACAGCCACCAGACGACCAGTAGGGCCACAGTGCTTACAATCACGAAGGCGGGTAGAACGGGTAGACCTGAAAAGGAGTATTGGATATCGTGAGTCATTCGCCTGACAAAAATATAAAATAATGGACCGCGTCGAATCGCTGCCGGNAGACGCTCGACAGCAACGTAGTCACATCCGGGGCACTGTGAACGAAGATGATGTCCCTCTCGCTCTGTCTATTCACGTCGTTATGCATACAGTGTTCAACGTTCAAATCGCAAAAACAGACGACGCTAAGTACAAAATGCCTAAATCCTAGCATGCGCGTTTTATGACTGACCTTGGTACAGTTCGGCTGAAGACAATGATAGTGCGTCTGACGTCCGTTGTGCGCACAGCCGGTTACGGCACAATTGTCCCCGGGACTGTAACGCATGAATCCGTATTGTAAACTCTCTTCCCGTTTACGATGCCATTTGGCGTGTCGGATCATCTCCTCACGACGAACGATAATCTGTTAAGGAGGACAATCAAGTTTGAACAGATCGTCTAAAGTCAGATTGTTGCTTTTCACCTCATAAACTGCACTTTATTTGTTGAATAGAATGGAAATTATTGGCTGACAGTGACGAGGTGTGGTTACAAAAAGAGCAGTTCTTAAGACCGAAGTGCAGCGGAAAATTCCGGATAGAAATTCATTTTGAAACCTTGCGGGAACACCGAAGTACGATATCGAAATCGGGGTCTTAGAACTAGAGCATGTACGAACGAGAGCATGCTGCACTTAAACTACCGGACACTGGGAACCAAAGTGAAATGGTGAACGTAACATGCGAGAAGACTGTCGATCGTAGAATTAGACAGTGGATGATCAAATCTGCGTGCAGGCAAGATTCAATATATATTGATTGAAATAGGGTAGAAATGGAATAATTATTGGTTCAATCAACCAAAGCCAACGGAGTGCCCAAGTGGGACCTAACGACAGATGACCACGCCCGGCAAAATGTTCAAGTTAATTTTCAAGGAAGGAAGGAAGGAGGGGGGGAAGAACTACTCTAAAACACAAAATGGGGGGGGGCAAGTGAGGAGATGGTGGTGGGATTCGAACACATTCTTCGTGGCGATAATTTGATGACATTTACCACGGGGTCACCGCCGCCCAAATACTATACGCCAGTTGGACAAAGTCAATGGAAGTTTGAAGTAACCTGACGAATGCACATTCCGAACGAGGTAATGTGAAGCGTTAAGATCAAAAAGACTACCAAATAATGAAAAGCAAACGTTAAAACTGTGCCAAGAAGCTATCAACAGATGCGTGTATACGGACAGCGAAAGTTTAGGGTAATCCGTAACAAACTGGGAAATTTTCGTTAAATGAACAGTGGCCGGCACAGATCAGACAAAACAGACTAGTTACACGTATCGAAACCCTTGCGAGCAGCGAAGTCTACCGGATTACCATAGCACAAATCAGCGGGTATGGCTGTGCATTTGAGGAGCCTGGCGAGGACAGTGTGATTCTCATTGTTCGAATTCGTACAGTTAGTGCAATGAATGGCACCATTCAACATGAATAATTAGCCCTTTGTGTCAAAAATTCCTATCGTTGGGATGAATAAAAATCACGAGAATTCGCACTGTTACGACTCAGCCGTGTTATCCCCGTGCGAGTGTGATGGTGCAGCAGCAGCCACAACACCATAAGACTCACCTTTTCACAACTCTGGCAGTGATAGTGTTCACGCATCCCGGCCGATTGACATTTAATCGAACTGCATTCTTCAAACGAGCCGTATTTTCTTATCGGATTGGTGGACGATTTCACCGAGTTCGGATCGCCACCCGATCCTCCGTCATAACAATCGGACTGGCTGAATTCGTCAACCGGTGAAGCGACGACCACTCCTGTACTTCAAAACAAAAAAATCAGGACAAGGTAC